TCTCTTCTCCAGGTGAACCCCCCCAGCTCTCCCAGCCTGGCTCCAGAGCAGAGGGGCTCCAGCCCTCAGAGCAGCTCCGTGGCCTCCTCTGGATCTGCTCCAACAGCTCCACGTCCTGCTGATGTTGGTGGAGGCAGCTCTGCAGGTGGGGAGGGGAGAAAGGAGGGAGAAACAAGGGGATGCTTTGTGTCTCTGCCTACGGGAGCAGGGAGTGCTTTTAAGGACAGAGCTGGGAGGGAGTTCTCTTTCTTCTCCTCCCCTTTCTTCCTCCCTTCTCCCCTTCCTTTGCTGTCACCCCACAGCTCTGGGGCACTGCAGGTGACCTTTCAGACAGGCTCTTTCCTGAAATCCCAGTGGAGCCTCCAAACCTACCAGCACGGGGAGAAACCACTGGAGGCAACTCAGCTCCCGATCTTCTTCGAGGATTACACTCTGCAGGAGAGCTGCTCCTGCTCTCCTCTTCTGAGGGAATTGCAGGCTGCCTCCAGCCTCCTGCCAATAACTGGGATTTGTAGACAGAGGATGACTTTAGCCAAGTTTGCTTCCACTTTTGGTGTAGATTTATTATTTCAAAGTGGTTCAATTGAGATTTTATCACAGAAGGACAGAGACGAGCATGCAGAGGTGGGTACTATATCTATCCAATTAATGAGATTAGTCCTATTGATTTTAATGGGAGAGAGTCACTGGCTGGAGATGAAACAGCAGCTTATTTATCTACTGGATCACATCCAGACAATGCAGCATCTTGCAGGATCTGGCCCTTAAATCTCACAACTAACTACATACAGTCAGTGCAGGAATCCTTTAGTACTGCTGGTCTGGAGATGATGTTGGAGGTTTTATTGCTATTATTTTGGCAGAGTGCCCAAGAGGGAACAGTGTGATTAATATTCAGGGAACAAATCCAGGGGTAATGGTCCCCATGAGCCCCGGGCCAGGGAAGATGATGGCTTTGGTTTTCTGGGTACCCAGGTGGAACTGCTGATTCCTGAGCTGCCCTTTGGATCTGCTGCCAGGAGCAGCCAGGGCTGGCTTGGTGGGCCTGGAAATAACGATTGCTTACACACCCAGCTTATCAGTTTGCTGACAGGGACCATTAACCTGTTTGTGCAGGAGCAGTGCTGGCCCCGGGGTCCTGCCTTCCCAGGGGGTGCAGATGTGACCTCATGGATCACAGAATGGTTGGAAGGGACCTTAAAGCCCATCCAGTCCCACCCCCTGCCATGGGCAGGGACACCTCCCACAAGCCCAGGTTGCTCCAAGCCCCCTCCAACCTGGCCTTGGACACTTCCAGGCATGGGGCAGCCACAGCTGCTCTGGGAAACCTGTGCCAGGGCCTCCCTACCCTCACAGGGAAGGATTCCTTCCCAATCTCCCATCTATCCCTGCCCTCTGGCACTGGGAAGCCATTCCCCTTGTCCTGTCCCTCCAGGCGCTTGTCCCAAGTCCCTCTCCAGCTCTCCTGAAGCTTCCTCAGGCCCTGCAAGGGGCTCTCAGGTCTCCCTGGATCCTCCTTTCCTCCAGATGAGCACCCCCAGCTCTCCCAGCCTGGCTCCAGAGCAGAGGGGCTCCAGCCCTCAGAGCAGCTCCGTGGCCTCCTCTGGATCTGCTCCAACAGCTCCATGTGCTTGTGTTGGGGGCCCCAGAGCTGCAGGTGGGGTCTCACCTGAGCAGGGCAGAGGGGCAGAATCCCACCCTTGACCTGCCGCCCGCTCTCTGTTGATCCAGCCCAGGGTGTGGTTGTTTTTCTCCCTGCTTTGCATCCCTGGTACCTCATGCCCGGCCAGGAGCCTGTTTGCATTCCAAAAACTGTGCTTTGAGCCCAAAGCCGAGCTCAGGTTGCCCCCGTCCCAGGAGACACCCGAGCTGTGCCAGGCGGGTCCCTCGTCCCTGTCCGGGACAGCAGGACACGGATCCAGGGAGCCCCCAGGGCAGTGCCAGGGGTGGTGCCCGCTCCAGGTGCCCCGAGCGCCCCCGCCCCGCTCCCCTGGGCTGGCGGGATGTGGCAGCACTTGGCAGCGTCTGGTGCCCTCCCCTGGCCCCGTGTCGCACTGCTCGTGCCCGATGTCCTTGTCCTGCCACCCCTGCCCCGGGCTCGGGGCTTTCCAGCAGAGCCGAGAGAGGAAAGTTGCTCCTTGCCCTGAAACTGAAGTACCTGCGGGCTTTTCACCTTTGTGACCAGTTCAGGACCCTTGAGAGCCCACTCCTCGTTACATTTCTCTCCTCCAACTTTTTTTATTTCATTACCTCTTTCACCTCCATGTCTTGGTTTAAACCCACCCTCTTTTAACTGAGGCGAAGATCCGGGTTTTTTTAGGAAACAGCCTCCTGACACCCCTCCCACGGGTGCTGCCTGGAGCAGCAGAGAGGCCCCAATCTCCCTGTCAGACACTCCCTACCAGACATGATTACGTTGTAGGGCACACAGAGCTATTCCTGAGGGAAGGGATCCATCCTGCCCCTTGCTCCTGGCCCTGGAGCTGTTCTCAGATCCATCAGTGCCTCCAGAACAAGTTTGAATTCAGCTCCATCAGCACTTCTGTGCCAGGGAGACAATCAGGAGAAACTTCTCTGGGGTGGGACATTCCATCTTCTGAACAGGATTGATTTCTAACTGATATGGTTGAGAAAAACTTCCCAAAGAGGAGGATTTCCTGTGGTCACTCGTGATGGCTCTTCTGTTCCATCTCCTGTAGCCATTTGGAGGTGGACAGGAGGCAGGACACTGGCTTTTAAGGGGACACTGACAGTTTGCAAGTTTTTTAACTAAAATGTCTCTCAATTTGTAGTTTTCAACCCTTTTTGGTTGGTTCCCTGTGGGAAAGCAGGAGTCAGAACAGACAGTCCTTTTCATATACATAGGATCCCGGAATATCCTGAGCTGGAAGGGACTCACAGGGATCATCCAGCCCAACCCCTGGCCCTGCCCAGACACCCCAACCATCCCACCCTGTCCCTCAGAGCGTTGTCCAAACGCTCCTGGAGCTCTGGCAGCCTTGGGGCCGTGCCCACTGCCCTGGGGAGCCTGGGCAGTGCCCCAGCACCCTGTGGGGGAAGAACCTTTCCCTGAGATCCATCCCAACCCCCTGGCACAGCTCCAGCCCTTCCCTGGGTCCTGTCCCTGGTCCCAGGGCAGGGAGGAATCTGAGGAACAATTCATGTTCCCCCAGTGAGGGCAGAAACAAGCCCTGAACCAGCTGAATGACCTGGAGGGACCTTGCTGGTCCTTGGTACTTTGTAAATAAATGTTCAGTCGCTGCCTCAAGGGAACAGGGCCGAGTTTTTAGGTCTGAGCAGGAGCTGCTTTGGGGCTGTTGGAGGTGCAGACCCTGCATGACAAGGTGCTGAACCTGCTCTTCTGGGACGTGTAAAATCTTTCCACAGCAATGGAAAAAGGACAGCTCCTCTCTCAGCTGTGCAGCTCCCAGCAGAGTCAGCTCCCGTGGGAATACAATCAATCCTTCTTGAGCAGGAGTTCAGAAAGGGAGAGCAAAATTTTGGTATTTTCTTTGAGTGCAATAAGCCAACGTGGTCTTACATTATTCATTGGATCCTCCTGGCAGTGCACACCACGCAGGAGATCAGGCCACACTCTGCTCTACCTTCTGACTCTGCCTATGCAAGGGGAATAATGATGAGACTTGTAAATGTTAAAAAAGGGATGTCTTACCACTAATTAAACCTATTTATCTTTCACAGCTAGAGCAGTTAACAGCCCAATAAAAGGTATCACTGTGAAACAGTGTGTTTATTTATCAAATGATTTCCTCCATGTAACGGCCTCTCCTTTCCAAATTCTGTGATGAAAGAGCAGATGGCACATGAAGATAAAAAAAGCCTGACTGTTGCCCTGGATGTGATCTCAGAAGTGAGGCAGCTCAGCTGAACATCACCATTAATATTTGAGGGGAGAGCAGGGCTCTGTGAGGACATGGGGCTGCCTCCTGCACAGTGGGACTGTGGGAATCATGGGATGGCAGGGGTTGGAAGGGATCTTTAAAGCCCATCTCATCCCAGTCAGGGCAGGGACACCTTCCACTAGCCCAGGTGGCTCCAAGCCCCGTCCAACCTGGCCTTGGACACTTCCAGAGATGGGGCAGCCACAGCTTCTCTGGGAAGTCCATCCCGGTCCCTCCCCACCCTCACAGGGAAGAATTTCTTCCCAATATCCCGTGTAAGGCTGCTCTCCTGAGGGCAGGGCTGTTCCCCTGAGGTGTCTCAGCTGGACAGGCAGCCCCACACCAGCTGTGCAGTCAAGGGATCACCAAAAAGTGAAGGGACACAAGAGTCACCTACATATGTCACAACACACATCTGGGTCCTCCCCACAACAGCTGTGAAGTCACGGAAAGGTGAAATGAGGTTGCCCCACATGTTCAGGTGTCCAAAACTGTGGAACCTGGCTTGGGAACAATGGGAGCAACTGCTCCAGCCCATCCAGGTCCATGCTCGTGTCCTGGCACACAGGGCTCGGTGTCCTGTCACCACAGCCCCTTCTCCTGTCTCCCCAAATTCAAGTGTCCAAGGCCATGAGGCTTGTTGCAGGTCTTTCCAAGGACGTGGAAACAACAACATGTGACTCCAAGAGCCCGGAGCAGAGGTGACCTCCTGTGACAAAAGTGCTGACTGAGGCAGCAGCGTGGCTGCATTGTCACCTTTGTCATTCTGCATCCCCACCCCAGAGCTCCAGGGGAAGGCCAGGCAGGACTCGAGTCAGCAGATGAAAGGGGCTGCTCTGTTCCCTTTGTGCCAGCATTCTCCACTCTGCTGTTTTTTTCCAAGGACACAAGTTTCTGAGAGATGAAAGTGGAGACTTCCCAATCATCCATGAGGCCTGGAGGGGACTGGCTGTTTGCTGCAATGTTCCCGCTGACGTGGGCTGGAAAGGGGGTCCAGAGGGAGAAGGAGATGAAATGAAAGGCAGTGCTGGGGAGCAGGAAAGAGCTGCAGAGTCCCTGGGGAAGCAGAGGAGCTGAAAGGAATGAGAGGAGGGAGCCATGGAGGGAGAGCTGGATGTTCCAGAGAGCCTGGACTGTGGCGTCAGGAGCAGTGGGGTGTTCAGGGTGGACATGGAAGAGGCTTTGGGAAGTTCAGTGTCTGAAACAAAGGGTAAAAGCCAGTCTGGAGGGATCCTGAAGGATCAGAAAGGATGGGAATGCAGGCAGTGACTGATGATTTTTAGGTAAAAGGAGGCAGGAGAGTGTTTCTCCTGAGTGGCCTGGGACCAGCTGCCATGCTGCCACTCCAGTCCTGCCCAAGGACTGCCAGAAGGTAAAACCAAAAGACTAAAGCTGCTGCAGGTACAACCAGGCCCTGCTGGAGAGGGGAACAGAGGTGTGGCGTGTTTCCCTGGCTGGGAGGTCTCACCAGGACCATCCCTTTGAGTACACAGAGGTGACCTTTCAGTCCCTGAGCCCCTGGCCCAGCCAGTCTGAAAAACCTGCCTTGGTTCGTGAGGATCCAGTGGCCTCTGCCCACACGAAAGCAAGTGGCTGGAAAACCAGGAACACACTGTTTTCAGAGAACATAAATTTGTCTGCTCTTATTTATCCAGGGTGTTGATCTTCAAACCTCAAGAATCACACTGGTTCCTTACCACGAAGCTGCTAATCCTTACGGAGTGCCTGGGAATTACCTGTCTGTACAAGTGTGATACCACAGGATCATTGTAACAGCAACTTAATGCAAATGCTGGGATTTCTTCTGATAAGGTTCACCTTCCCTGTCCAGGCTTTTTTTTTTTTCTTTCTGCAAGAAAAGACTGCATTTACCTCAGGGTGTCATTTTCTGGAGATGGGTTTTGTCGTTTGTTATGCTGTTAAACTCCACACTGATCTGGTGTCAAATTCTTGTCTCTCTTGAGATCACAACCATGGCAAACTTGACACAGCTCTCAAGGCTCTTGTCAAAATCCGTCTGGACTTTTTGTGCTTAAACTGAGTGTTCCAAATACTGACTTTGTTCCTAGAAAGAGAAAAAGAAAGAAAAAAAGAAAGAAAGGAAGAACAAACTTCTTCGTTCTACATTGAAGGAACATATCAGGAAATGGAGACTGCCTTGATTACAGATACTATGAATGAGAGGTTTTAAATATTCCAGCTGAATCTCGGGCTCCGAAGGCAGCCTGGGTCTCTGGAGGTGCAGGAGGGGGTTATACACCACTCACCACCTTATTTTCAAGGGATGTGTCAGATATTTTCATGAACTGTGCAGGCCTGATCCTTGTGCTGGTTCCAGATGGCTGTGGGATGACACAACCTCAAGAGCAAAGGACTGGCAGTGGAATTGCATCTCTGGGGAGAAGGACTTGGGGGTGTTGGTGGACTTGCCCACGTGTGTTGACAGCCCAGAAACCAACCATGGCCGGGGCTGAATTGTCATCAGCAGGTCAAGGAGGGGATTCTGCCCCTCTGCTCTGCCCTCATGAGACCCCCCTGCAGAGCTGCCTCCAGCCCTGGGGAACAACAGCACAAGGACGTGGAGCTGCTGGAGAGAGTCCAGAGAGGCCACAGAGCTGCTCCAGGGGTGGAGCCCCTCTGCTCTGGAGCCAGGCTGGGAGAGCTGGGGGGGTTCACCTGGAGAAGAGAAGGCTCTGAGGAGACCTGAGAGCCCCTTGCAGGGCCTAAAGGGGCTCCAGGAGAGCTGGAGAGGGACTGGGGACAAGGGATGGAGGGACAGGACAAGGGGGAACAGTTTTAAACAAAAGAGGAGAGATTTAGATATGATATTGGGATGGAATTCTTCCCTGCGAGGGTGGGGAAGGACTGGGATTGACTTCCCAGAGAAGCTGTGGCTGCCCCATCCCTGGAAGTGTCCAAGGCCAGGTTGGATGGGGTTTGGAGCAACCTGGGCTAGTGGAAGGTGGGCTGGAATGGAAATGTGCTTTAAGTTCCCTTCCAACCCAAACCATTCCATGCTCTGATGAAATTCCCTGACCACTGGCTGTGATTCCAGCAGCATTTCCATCCTGGCCAGGCTGCATCTTGGCTCAGCTTGCAGCAGACAAATGTGCAGTGACAATGAGAGCAGGGTTGTGTTGGGCACCAATCCATGGAACAACAGAGGAACCAGCAGCTGCTCCAGCCCCACCACTGGAGGTACATTTTTCCTGCAGAACCTCCCAGCAGAGATCTGGGGGGCCTGGAGGGATGATGTCTGTCAGGATGGAAGGTGTATGAGGTAGGGGAGAAAGCTTTGAGCCTCCTCTCACATTCATGAGGTTCCTGTCACTATAAATCTGCTTTCAGAAGCAGCTGATGACACAAAGCCCATCCAAAGGCAAACACAGGTTGCTGCAGGATTTCCTGAGCTTTTCTCTCCGTGCTGACACTCCAGACTGCGCAAACTTCTGTCCACCACAACCATTTCAACACTTCCAGTTCCTCCTGGGGGTGAAGTCGAGGTGGAGGTGCTGAAACTGGCCCTTTGCCCTTCCTGCAGAACGAGACACTTCTGCTGATGGAATAAACTCATTCTTTACACCTGGGCTGGCTTTGGCCTCTGCTCCACCCTGGGCTCAGGATCAGGGAAGTGAGTGGAAGGAATCTGTCCTTGAAGGGCTCATGTTCAGCTCACAGTGTACATGGAATCCCAGACTGGTTTGGGTTGGGAAGGACCTTAAAGCCCATCCAGTCCCACCCCGTGCCATGGGCAGGGACACCTCCCACTAGCCCAGGTTGCTCCAAGCCCCGTCCAACCTGGCCTTGGACACTTCCAGGGATGGGGCAGCCACAGCTTCTCTGGGCAACCTGTGCCAAGGCCTCCCCACCCTCCTTGTAAAAAAACTTCCTTATATTCAGTCAGCCTTCTTTTAGTTACATGAGCTTAGGAACTCATCCCTTGGGACAATGGAAACCAGTTTGGATCCCATAAAGGCAAAGGCATCTTCCCTCTTTGCCTGCCCAGGAAACAACCTGATGAATAATATCCCATATCCCAGCGAAGTTCCACAGAAACCTGCTGAGACAAGGCTCTGAGCAGGTTACAAGCAGGGAGAAGGTGAGATGAACCTGTGATAATTGGTGTAAAAGTGCCTTGCTGACCCCTTGTTCTGATTCGATTCATTACCCACAGGGTGTGACACTGTATCTGCACCCCCATCTGCCTGGCTCAGTACAACAGAACATTCATCAGCTTGACTGAGAAAAGCTTTTAGAAATTCTCATAATTCAATTAGACCATCAAAAAGATGATCTAATCATGTCAGTTCAATTATTCAGACTAGGGCAAGCCGAGATCTTTCATGTTACCTAAACTGTGCCAGACCTCCAGGAGCAATCTGCTCATCCAAGGAGGAGATTCAGCCAGACTTAATTCTTGCTTTTCAATTTAATTAGTGGGGCTTTTTTATAAGAAAATTCTCTGAGTCTGATCTCATAGAGTCATAGATTCACTAAGGTTGGAAAGGACCTCCAAGATCGAGTCCTTTGACTGAACCACCAACCCACTAAACCGTGTCATGAAGGGCCACTTCCACTTGTTTTTTGAACACTTCCAGGGATGGTGATTCCAGCACTGCCCTGGGCAGCCTGTGCCAATGCCTGGCCACTCTTTCAGCGAGGAAATTTTTAGAATATTGAAGAATATTAATCAGAAGGTACAAAGGTGTCCTGGACACCACAGGGTAGGAGCAGATGTGGTGTGGGCTGGAGTTCCTGCAGGGGGGGATTCACACAACAGTGTTTAACATCAGACCTGGGCACAGAATCCATGGAGCTGCCTCTTGGCAGAGGCCCCTTTGTCCACTTCTTCTTGGCATTGTGAGATTTCCTAGTGGTGATGCCTCTGTGCTCCCTTTTACTGCTGTTCCTGCTCATTTTTAGCTTCTCCATCCTCATGGCATTCTACTGTCCTTCCACACAACCCAAAAAACCCAAATGCAAGACAGAATTATCCTTTTTCCCAGGGTTTTCATTTGCTTGTCTGGCAATTCAAATGTTTATAACACAGGGCTAAAAAAAGAGGGGTATTTTCTGCACCGGTAAAGCTGTTTCTGCTCACTCTCCTACAGCCTTTGATCATAAATAAAACAGTGGTGTGAGTCATCCTGGACATAGAAGGTGTTGAGATTTTGGCTGTAAGGCCAGTTAGGAAGTTAAAATTATGGTGGAAGACCCTCAGCTTGGTGATGGACACAGAATGAAGTGATTTTGCTCATTTCTTCACGAGGAAAAGAAAACCTGATGTAGTTTTATAGCATCTCCTGGCCAGAACATGCTGCTGAAACCATCCATGTTTTGAAGAATTGTTTTGTTGTTCTTGTTCCAGGATGATTATTTGGGCAGAATAAAGGGAAAGAAAAGAGCCAAGAAGACACTGAAATATCAGGTGTCCTGATGACCTTCAACTGGCAGCAACATCTGGGCCAAAATCCTGATTCCAGCTCTGCAGAAGGAAAGGCAACAGATGAACGTGGTGGGTGATGGAAATGATCTGTGACAATCACAGAATCATGGAATATCCTGAGCTGGAAGGGATCCACAAGGATCATCCAGTCCAACCCCTGCCCTGCACAGACACCCCAACAATCCCACCCTGTCCCTCAGAGCGTTGTCCAAACGCTCCTGGAGCTCTGGCAGCCTTGGGGCCGTGCCCACTGCCCTGGGGAGCCTGGGCAGTGCCCCAGCACCCTGTGGGGGAAGAACCTTTCCCTGAGATCCATCCCAAACCTCCCCTGACTCAGTGGCAATGGGGTCAGTGGAGTCACTGGGAGACCAGGATGTGCAGATCCTCTTGTAACCCTTCCCCTGTTCTGTGGGAGGACCTGAGATCTGGCTTTTAGCAAATCCTTTTCCCCAGCCCTGCTGTCCCACTCCTCACTCTCACCTTCACCCTGGTCTCCCATCAATCCCACACTTTGTGGTGAATTAACACCCAGCTCTCCTCAGGGGCTTGGGTTCTTCCCAAAGCTCTCACCCAGAGCAAGGTGTCACTGCTCTTCCCTTGGAACTGCCCTGCAGTCAGTAAATACAGTCTGAAAACAAAACCAGTGCCACCAGTGGGTGAAGAGCCTTTCAACCTGAAACCTCACCCTGAAGCCACCCCAGAGACACAGAGAGTTCAGCCCTGACCAAACAGAGCTCTGGGCACACTCCTTGCCCTGCTCTTGG